GTGTTGGAACGGAGAGAAATATCCGGCATTGTAAGATGAAAGCTGGTAAGTGCACATGTATCTTAGAGAGGCACATTCCAAATTTTGTTAGAATAAGGACATTCACCTTTCATTTTAGTAACTGATATAAGTACGCTTCCCTTTTCAGAGACTAACAGGGTTATGATTTCCGATTGGGTGGATTCCTCCGGAAAAGAACGAGTCAAACTAAAAAAACAGTAGTCAGTTTCATGCAAAAAATGGCTTATTAAAATGAAATAACGGTCTTAGTCTCCCTGCAGCTCTGTTCATAGATAGCCTGGCCGTATTTTAGGCGGAACTCTCGTTGAACACTCATTTGTTTTCGCCAGCATTTAACTCAAGAAGATTCAAGTATACCTTTTTTTGTAATTGTTGTCGTCTCTACGTTGTTGTTTTTCAGGGGGAATTGGAAGTCATAACTGCAGACATACTGAGGACGCAGGAGTCAAGTGCTCAGGTCCAGACATGTCCCAGAAATGTGTGACATCATGTGGTTCTGGTTTCTTCAAAGGAGAGAAAAAGAAATGCGAGCGATGCGCCATGAAATGTAAAAATTGTTATGGATCAGCCTCATCTTGTACTAGCTGTGATTCTCCGTACTTCTACACTTCCTCAGATTGTGTCAGAAAATGTCCGCTTGGTTTGTATGGTGACACTAAAGAGCGTTTGTGTAAGCCCTGTGATAAAGTGTGCCAGACGTGCTCAGATGGCGAAACTGGAGATAAATGTCGGTCTTGTCCAAACGGATTGTTCCTCAGTGAGTGCTAAACTACTTGTTAATTCACAAAACTGTAACTTGGTAACCTACCCAAGATATGTGACTTAACAAAATTGTTACGGTATGGCTCCTTTTTGGTAAAGATGGACAAATTGAAGTCGTTTATAAAGCTGACACAGCGTATTGTATTATTGATTGTCAATCATTTCGACGGGCACGATAAAATCTTATACAGTCATAGAATTTACGAGGTTAAGACAGCCCCTGCATTGAACAGTCTTCCCTTACAACACACTAACGTCAATCGTTTTGTATTCTCAGATGGCAGTGCCTGTGTCAAGGACTGCGGTGACCTCCATTCCGTGTCATCATTATTCTTGCCAAGGCCACAAGAGCCGGTGGTCAGATTAGTAAATAAAGAAGGAAGCAGGGGGCAGGGGCGAGTAGAAGTGCTGTATGAGGGCGTATGGGGAACTGTCTGCGATGATGGTTGGGACATAAACGACGCTAGCGTTGTTTGTAAAGAGCTTGGCTTTGGGAAGGCGAAAGAAGCTTCGAAACACTCCAGCTTTGGAAAGGGTAAGTCTGTGTTTCACTTCGAAAAACCTGATTTAGACTTTGGTATAAAAACTGCCTTTTTCATGATTTCCTCCACAAAGGAATCGGAATTATCTGGATGGATAACGTGAACTGTCTCGGTTATGAGTCCTCACTTACCCACTGTCGTCACGTTGGCTGGGGTGAAGGTAACTGTGATCCAAACCACGCAGAAGATGCAGGTGTGATCTGTGATAACACGACTGTAGAAGAACTCAGCAATAACTTTTGTAGGAAGGTCAACGATGGTTCATGTGCTGATCTTCAGGTACTTAACTTTAACCACTGAAGACATAACTTCTAACGGAGCTCACTCATTCCGTTTACAACGACAAGATCTCTTCTTACATTAAAAGCAAACCATTGATTGATGACTGTGATTTCCTTCTTTTTCCTATTCTTCATTGTTAGCTGTGTGACAGTCACGCGGGAGTAACGTGTGTAGACTTGGACCTTTACAACCAAAAAGGAGAGGAAGAGTCCGTGTGTATGAGATGTCCAAATGGTTACATAGGTGACGGACAGAAATGCAGAGGTATTCAGTTCGATCATCATCTTCTTATGTTAGATGTTAATGTTTGTCTTGCATTTGTTCAAAATTTTATTTGACGTGATGATTAGATAACGCAGGTGGGATGGGTGAGGCCATTGTTGTTTGTGCTCTGGTTTTTTTCGAAGGCACGTCATGCAACATTTGAAACTGGTAAACACTGATTCAGACAAACCCTTTTTTGTCATAATTACATTCTAGTTATTGCCTCCAAGCCCCCAATATTTGACAAGAAGCCAAACAAGTTGGAAAACGTGAAATTTCAAGATGCATTTAGCCTACAGTGTTCCTCTTTGCCTCCAGTGGTATATCCGTCCGCGTGGGACTGGAGGAAAGATGGGAGGCCACTCTCCGTCAATGACATAAGATCCAGGAGGATTACTTCTATATCCGGGACTTTGGTAGTGAGATCTGCTGCTGCAGAGGATACTGGAAACTACACATGCGTGTTAGTGAACAGTGCCGGATCAGTTGAGAGTGACCCGGTGATGGTTGTTGTAAAAGGTTTGTTCAAATTGTCGGCCATGTTGTTAGAATCACAATCAACTGAAACAAAAATTTAAGCTCAGGTGGGGTTTTGAACAGTATAGAACCCTGACAGAAAATTAAGTGAAGGCTTGTAGGTGACGATAAAAACATGAGGTATTAGGAATACAATAAAAAAGAGGAGTAAAGAAAAGAAAAATATATGTCATTTTTTCCTTCTAGTCCCTCCCCAGATCCCTGGCGTCGTATCAGCCGACGTTGCTAAGGGCGACAGTACAACTCTGGCTTGTTTAGTGTCCAGCTTTCCGCCGTCAAACATCACATGGCGATACAAGGACAAAATCATTGGCTCGGACAACATTAGATACAACGTCAACGATAGAAACTTTTCTATTCAGATAAAAAACGTAAAATTTGAGGACGCTGGGGACTACGAGTGCGAAGTTATGAATGAGTTAGGATCAGCAGTGGCTTATGCAAAACTTGAAGTGGGATGTAAGTGGTATGGTGTGTGTTTAGGTTTCATTGACTGATTGATTAATTGACCTACTGACTATTTGACTGACTGACCATTTCCATGCCAATTGACTGTCTGTTTAATTGATTGATTGACGCATCTGATTAATGTACTAATTGATGATGGCCACATTGCTTTAGCCAATGTCGATAGAAATGACAAGTTTTGTCTCTAATTTTCACCTCTTTTAGTGACACTTCGATACACCAAGTTCGAACCAGAGGCCAAGATAAAAAAAATGGGCCAAGATGTCACACTACCATGCGTTGTAAGCGCTATCCCTACTCCAAATATGGCATGGAAAAAGGATGGAGAACTGGTAACGAATGACGATCGTCATGTGGTCACTCAAACAGATTTGACAATACGTAAACTTACTTCAACGGACATGGGAAGATATTACTGTATAGCCTGGAATAAACGAAGTGTAAAGGCCAGGGATGTTCTCTTGTTTGTAACAGGTAGGGATTTGAACAAAGTAGCTTGCAGTTTGACACTGCAAAATGTTCAGCAAAGTAAGCCTTAGACGTGAGCCGGAGACATTAGGTGGTCATGGCTCGTCACATGATACGCCAAGAGTCGACTGTCATATGATATGAAGCGACTTGGAATATGATATAATGCCCTGAATGGTACTTGTAGGCTAGCTGGCTATTCCCTAGTAACCCCCCTGAAAAGGAACTTTCTGGTACCCCTTAAACTGTTGTTTCAAGAGTGGAGACAAATCGTCAGTGTATAAAATTCAAACAATAAACTTTCCGAGGATGACCCGCGAGTTTTTTGTTCGTTCTCTGCGGTTTAAGGATTAGTCCAGCTTGTTGTACTTTCCGGATGAATGGCAATATATTTTATCACTCTTAAACATTGCTATAATTTTTATTTTTAAAGCAAACATAAATCTAATTTGATTATCCAACTCATTAAAAACTGTCCTAGGGCCTCCAATAATAGACATTTTTCCAGTTGATCAGGATGTTCTCTCCGGAGCCGATGTATCTTTGTACTGTGGAGGATATGGTGATCCTCCTCCGAAGATTATTTGGCGAAAAAATTCCGTGAACGTTGAGATCTCACACAGAATAAAAATTGATCCCGTCCAGGGATCAGGAGAGCTTCAGATTATTTCGGTGACTGTCGAAGATGCGGGAAAGTATGAATGCATTTATAGAAATAGTTTTGGTGAGGCCAGGAGAGAGGCGTCGCTTACGGTGGACGGGCAAACAGGGACAGGTCAGTAGTAAAGTATGTTTATAAAGAAAACATCTCCATGCTATTATAGTTAAGGTGAATAAAATGGCAGCCATAACAACAGCGATTTTCCTATTCGGTTAGTGTGTGCATGTGAGGTATGAGAGATTTTGGCAAATTTTAAAATGATGTGGATCATGGGCGAGATGTCTGAAAATGAAGAAAGTGAGACAGAGGGCCTACTGAGCATGCGTTTCCTGAGTTTACCACAAGTTGATGGGTGAAAGCGGAAGTGCGGCTTGATTAATGCACCAGCAGCGTGTGGTTACTCTCCTATTTGGAAAGGCACCAAAACCATTAACAATTACGTCGTTAAAGAAAGTGTTATACGCCAATTCTTAGTTGTTTTTCGTGAGAACCAGAAACATCAGAAATGTTTCATAGGCTTTTAGGAAGCAGGGAAGTGTATTCAACAACCTTCTTGTGTTTTATATTCTAGAATCAAAAACGAAGGCATCGAAAGGTCTCAGCACTGGAGCAGTGGTGGGAATCATTGTTCCCCTCGTTCTTGTCAGCCTCCTCGTTGTTGTTGCAGTCATCTTCAAGTGTCGAAAGACTTCATATCACAGAGGAGACAAACTTATGATGAGCAAACCAACATGGCTCTCTGACTTTAAAACGAGAGTAGCATCATCTTTTGGCAAGGAACCAAAAACAGAGCCCTTAGAGGAGGAAGACATTGATTTATAAAGGGACTAGGAAACTTTACATCAAAAACACTGTGAATTAGAAACTGTTCCTTACAGTAGAGTGATAGAATAACAGCTTATTATAGGCATCAAGTAAGGTCTTAGGTTTTTAGAGAAGTGAACAGTATGCCTAACTTTACATAAAACAATGAAACACGCTCGCGACATTTAAGTGTCTTCTGATAACTAGGGCTAGCTCATCACCACACCAAAAGGAAAAACTTAGCATACTTGAAAAGTTTTCAGCTCGTCTGTAGGATAAAGAGATTGATCAAAGTAGGAGTCTTAACAGCACCAGAGTAAAACATGGGATTCCCTTTATTTTAAACGCCGGAGTACAATCAAGAGTCAAGACAACTTTCATCAGTTAGGCTTTAATTGCATCGTGAGAGACCCAAATAAAATGCTTCTAAATACCTTTTTTTATTTAATTGAAAGGGTAAAGGCAAGTTTCTAAAGAGCGTATGGTTCGAAATGAGAGGGAAGGGAGAGATAAGGTAAAAATGTACACAATAAGGTGAGGTGAGGTGCAAGGCAAAAGGAAATACGATCAGAGAGAAAAGATGCAAAATGCGGGGCTTAACTTTTCGACTCCAGATTAATAATCAGTGCCATGTTACTGCCAATGTTAAGTTTAACCACCGGAAAGGAAATTGGTCAGCAACCCTGCTGTAGACAGTATCCAATGGGCGGGAAAGAACTACTGACGACGTTCACTGATACGTGTTTGATGCTGGAAGCCCGGAACAGCCGAGCATATAGTGACTGTTTCAGATAAGCCATGTATACTACACTCATACGTGACCATACTCAAACATATTCATGTACACTCAGTCGGACTGTCCACAGCACATACAAACTATATCACCTACAAAAGATACAGATACCGACACTGCCTCCCGTAGCTACAGCAATCTAGACTCCGTCTACAATAGATAAAGCTATTTACGCTGATTGTGATATATACAGCCATTAAAACAATCTAAAAAATTCAGTTATCACAATGAATACAGCCATCTACTCCTTGTACATCAGATACTGCTATCTACACTACACACAGTTATGGTCACAGCCTACGGAAGATACAACGTTCCACACTGCTCGGCTACCCACGCGACGTAAAGCAGATATTTCTTTTTACATATGCGAGATACAGTTATCCACGTTATCTAGAGTAAGTAAAAGAGTCACATACGCCGTCTGGAGCAGATACAGTTGTCTACAATATCTGTACTAGGTATTGCTAGTTGTATTTAAGGTATATATACAAAGGAGAGAGCAGTGGTGCACAAGGCTGTATCTACTGAAGAACGAGTAGATTAACTATCAACTTTAGACAGGTTGATTGTGTAATATATTAAGTCACAATTTGATCAGATTTGAGCACAGCTTTTAAATGAGGTATCAGATAAAGTGAGTGTTTTCCGTTCTTCTATGAAGAACTATTAATTTTCTTATTTACTAATACTCCTCCTGCGACGGTCAGCGGTTTTCCAACTGAAAACAAAAACGACGAGAAATTGCTGAAAGGCGCTATAATTGAATCGGTTGCTTCTTGGTGAAATTCTCCGCGTTGTATGTCACCGTTTTTTCTGATCCCCACAAGAACGTTCAACGTTTTAAATGAATGATTTCTTAACGCGCTGCAGGGATGATTACCGGGTTGGATTAACACAGAATGTAGGTATCTTAATATATACGGTATGGTGACAACATGAACTCAACTGTTTGATATCAATGTATTGGGTGATTCGATCATGGTGTTGTCATAACAAATCTCTGCAAATCTAAGTACTTGAACATTGTAAATGACAGGAAAAAGAATGGCTGCGGACGTTTTATTATGATGTGGAAAAATGCATCCGACAAAATGAAAGCGAAGCAGAGTTCGTCGAAGTATGCCTGGCTGTGCTGCGTCAAATCAAAGATTTACGCAGTGTTGGAGATGCAGAAGATTATCCAGACTGGCTTCCTGTCAGTCAGCAAGTTGTACCTCTTAATACACTATTTAGCAATGATGTGTGTGGAGGTTCTTTGTGTAGTCTATTAGCTGAAGAATGTTCAATATCAGGCAAGTGAAATGTACTTCAACTGTATACTAAGGGGAGTGGGGGGGGGGTAGTTCAACAATGTACAATTGGTGTAAGTCATTCTTTATTTACTGATTAAGACACACTTTAAGTATATGAGTTGTACTTGTCAAGCTACGTAAGTTATTAAGGAACTAAATAACTTTCTATCATCTTATAAATCACCGAAAGTACTGTTAGAGAGCATACTAATCAGTCAATTGATATCCTACAATTGCAGCATTTACTTCTCACAGTTTTTGTTTTTGCATGGTGAATGAGAAGGATATATATTGGTGTGTAGTCAGATTAAACTGTCAGTGATGGAAAATGCCTTTGTTGTTTTTTTTAACTTGTTTGGGTGGAGACCTACGTTTTTTCCTGTTTAATGACCTACTTATTCTGAAATTCTTGATATTATTATTATGTAGTTAGTAATATGTAGAATATGTAATGAGAAATACATATTCTTTATTGCAGAATACAAGTTTGCTTCTAAATTGCCTTTTATTCTCTTGGGATATTTAACCTCACAACCCAAGTCTTTAAAATCCAGAAAAGCTTCAGGCACTTTGTATGTAGAGGACAACTTCACTGCAGTTGTTTGTGAGGTGGGAGTTGTTTGTGGTTTTCTAATTATTGCAGTATTAATGTATATAATCAATATCACATGTCAAAAGTTAACAAACCCTATGCTGATGGCTCCTTCTCATTGACATTTTAATTTGAATTCTTCCAGATAATAAATCCCAGTGAAGATTACCTTGAGAAACTTTTACTCATCCCTCACTGGAACTATGTTCCCTCATCATCTTCATCAGCAGTTAAGGAAGGTGAGGTTTTTCATGAAGCCAATCAGTATGGTCAGATTTATTTACATGTAGCAGATCATGTGTTCTATGGGTGACCTTGGTTTATGTATTGGTCTGTATAATCTATCTTAGCCCACAGTTAATGGAAATAAAATCAGTTGGGGGATAGTCGGTGGATTCATAGTTGATCAGTAGTGATTCAATATTTTGCCAATAGCTGGCACATAGTCAATCGCTGGTTGACAACTAAAATGTAAGCTGATCAATATCTTGATGGTCCTGTAGCTGGCCAAGATCTGGGTTGGGATAGCAGCTGGCTATCAGTTGAGTATTGACTGAGGGTTGATTGACCATCAGTGTACCTGTGTATTCTCTCACTGAACAGCTACAGGCATTAGAAGCAAGAAAAAGTGCATACAGTCAAAACTTGTATGAAAGGGTTACCCACTCGGGATAGTGGAGTGACTGCTTAATACAGGTTCCACAGATTAGGGGTATTATAAAAGACCAATACCACAACTGACCACTTACTGTGCAGAATCAAGCTCAAAAATACAACTTTGAGTTTGAGAGAGAAACATGGATTAAAAATTACTCAAGATTGTTATTAGTTTTGTTTTGAGTGGTTTGGCTTTAAAGGGTATTCAATAGAGGTGGATGGAAATACAAACAGGCCTTTGGGACTTGGAAGAGGATGAATGTGACTGCTTGATATGGATGATTGCTTTATGGAAGTGAAACTTACAGTGATTAATTGGGGACTTCGCCAACCAACTGCCTATTACAGGGTGCTGCATAGGTTCAACTGTATACATACATATAGGCTTTTTGCTTTCAAAAAAATTTGTCACTAATGTGTGGAAATGGTGATTTTAACTCTGCTTTATTCTTGTATGTTCATTGTCAGATGTAAAGAATGGTCATGGTGGTTACCTAGAGATCATCAACACAGGCACACCAATTGTTGTTACTAAAACAAATGTAGCTGATAACAAACTCTCCACAAGTTATGTTTTAAGTGTCAAAGAGTTTCAGGAACAAGGAAGGTACTTTACCATATGGTATATTAGGGTGACAATTCCTTGATCATTTAGAGAATTTAGACATTTCATCAACTTATTTTATATGGGTGGAGTTGAAATAAGGTTTTGATCAAAATGACCATACATGTAGTTAATGATCCATTTGTGCATCAGTATTTAATTAAGGAGATCATCTTTAAATTAAGCCAGTAGAATAATGGATGCCCTGATATGAGGTTGTGAAAGGAAGGAGTTGAGCCAAGGTGGACTTTGATTTATTATGCATCAATTTGTGCAGCAGCTTTTCTTTTTCTCCACAGCTTAACAATCAACTTGAATATACAAGGATCCATTTTTGCACTGAGCCCAATTCACAGGTAATTTTGTCCACCCTAGTTCCAGATTGCAATTTTTGTTGGTGTTAAATTGTCAGCAAAAAAGGTGATGAAATAGTGAAGTTGTCTTCTTGGACACTCATCACACTCTTCAATTCTCTATCCACTGACTTGCATTTGATGGCCTGTGATAATGATTGTTTTCTGTCTTGATAAAATGTAATTTTAATATTGGTTACTAATAATCAATCTTTCCTTACAGCATGAGTGTTGGCAAGCCTTTCTTTTTGGTCAAAATTTTCTGCACTGAGACAAGCCTGACAACTTCCTTGGTGATTCAAGTACTGTGAGCCTTCCTTTTTCTTTTTTCCATGGAGGGAGGGGAGGGGGAGGCGGAGTTATGCCTGGTAACAAAGATTTTATCATTTGATTAACAAATGTGGGTAACTGGTAATTTTTCAGTTTTTTTTACCATTAATTTCCTTTATCTTCATTTACACCAAACTATTGATTTTTTTTTACTGTCTCCTCTCTTTTTCTCCCTTCCCATATTAATAATTAAGATATGATGTAAGCTTTCTTTGCAGACTTGATAAAGAAAGCAGTGAGGTGTTCAGAGCTGACTTGGCGAGGAATTTTCTTTTAGGGTGAACAGTTTATGTTGTGGCACAATTTCCTTCAAATCAATGAGCAGTATGTGTTCCATAACCTGAGAGAAACTACAATGAACAAGGTATTTTAAGTACGTTTTTTGTAATACCATGCCAAGGGATTTATCAATGATCTTGGAAAAATACTATTGTAATTGATGCATGTGCGTGAAAGTCTCCTTCATTACATAGGAAAGTACGTTTCAGAAACAGAAGTTTTACGTACATTTACTGTACATTAGTAGAATGTTCACTCCGTGGGCATCCCAGGGACTTTAAAAAGTGCATGTTTGTTTCATGTACATTTAATGTACATCACAGTAACATTAATTCAGGGGAAGTGAGGGACTCGAAAAGTGTACCTTGAACAGATGTGTTCCTTAAATATAGTTAACAAATACAAAGGTTGATGAAGCCACTTTCTCCGATCGGAATTGACATTTTTGCCTCCTAAGTTGCCCTATGAATAGAATTAATAGTAGGGTAGTAGTATATTAAAAAGGAGAGGTCTCACTATGAAACGTGATGCCTGATCTGTATGTCTTCTACAGGGAACACGAAACGAAAGAAAGATCCTTGCCACTACACGCCGTTCAGACTTGAGGAAATTCCGACCAAGAAACGTGAAACGAACTCACGAAGACGAACAGGTACTAAAGAACAATCAAATAAGCTTCACTTAAAACTTAATCTGCACAAAATTGTAGAGGTGAAAGTAACTGAATGGCAAGTAAAAAGTAAAAGAAATTATATTTGATTTTAACAGTTGAAAGCTGGTATTCATCCAAACCAATAAACGAAGCTAATATGAATAATAAACACCAATACGGTAACTTTTCAGAGAGCATCGAAGCGGCCAAGAATCTCAAAGGAAAAAGATGAGGTCCCGAATAACCGTAGAACATTTTCAAGTCATAACGTCGCGATGAGGTCAGCAGAAACCAACCCGGCTGAGGCAAAAAATTCACAGCCAGAAAAACCAAAGATACCGGTCAATATAACGTATACGGCAAGTAGTACCCTGGTGTTGCCCCTTTGAATTTTCTAAGGGAACATTTTTATGGCATTCTTAATTTGTCATTTCTAGTTCTCTTCAAAGGAATATAAGAAGCAGACAAAAGATAAATGGAAAAAGACAAAATGTGTCGGGCAAAATAAGAAAGCTCTTCATTCAAGAAATTTAGATACATATACAGTACTTCATATCCCCTGCAGTTGCATTGAAAAGACGTATTTCCTTTAAGATCTTGTTCAACACTTTTAGGGCGTTATCACAGGATGCATCAACCGTGAAGCTGGAGTTTTTGAACTGGACAATAAAATAAGGTAAAAGGTCTTTTACATAACTTCTTGAAAAGCAACTTGAGTTACAATATTGCGCTCGACAGCTTACCGAGTACTGTTATCTTTCGTTTCTGTGATGTCCGTGTAATTTCATAAACACCGATACATGTTTATGTGTAATGAAGTTGTAATTTGAAATTAGCTAAAATTGCTAAAAAATTAGCTAAAATTGTCCTTCGTTTTGTAGGCTGTATATAAGTCACCAGCCTTCTATGAATCTTGGTCGCGGTTTGCGTGTTGGGGCTCACGTGACAGCTTACAATGTACACTTGTGTAAGAAAGGGAAGGTAGGCTGTTTCATTTTGCTATGTAACATTTTATTAAATTTGATTACAAAAACTGCAAAGGTTTTTTTTATAAAGAGCGAGGTCTCACATTAAAGGGCATCAGTAAACTTTGTTTAAAAAGGTGTAGCTAAGCTGCATTTTCCCTAATTTTCTCATCGTTCCAGAGAACTCTTGGCCTGTGCTGCTGCACACAGAGTACTTTGCGGGTGGTGAAGTTCTCTCCTCTAGCTTCACCTTGGAAGGTACATGTATATATTTAAAGACTGAATTATTTATAAGTCGTATATCCCTTCAATTTACCTGAAGACAAGAATATGTTTCAGATCTACTTTCAAATTTCCCGTCTTAAGACCTGAATGGAGGGCAGTTTTCAGGAACAAGATTTTACTTGGGTTGAGAAAATGCGAGCACGAAGAGTGGGGGAGGGGGTAGGGTGGGGTGTGCAGCGTATCGAGTTCTGCGGTTTCCATACGCAGTATCACAAACTGGAAACTTATAATCCTTTACATTTCATATTTCTTCGTGATATAGCCTTTTAACCCATGTGAGAGTCCCTTGGCTTTACTTGGACAAAATCTCACTCTGGGTGATTATGTGGACCTGCTCGAGATGTGCCAAAAAGTTTTGGATAAATTCTCTCCCCTCTACAGGTAATACTATGTCATATCAAGCGTTAGAGTTTAATGTCCAGCAGTGAAAGGCAAGTGACCAGAATTCATTGTGATCGCATGCGACGAGACGATATTTCTGAAAGAAATCACGAAGCTAAGATTTAAGAATATAATGCGAGCAAAACTTGTAATAAATGTTATCGCCCAGAAGAACGTTAAAATCTTTTGCGTCCCTTTTTGTAGGACTAGGCAGCTTGTCGCTTACTCTGTTAAACAGAGCAGGTAGGTGGATTTTCCATTTTATTTTATACCGTAAGCTGTAAGGACGATATGACTACTATACCAGGGTCAGAAAGGATTTTGCGATAAAAGGCAACTTTTTCCCCTAATGTTTGATTGTTTTAGTTATTGCGTGACCTATTTATTGTGTAGCTCACAACTGTAGAATGTAAAGTCGACCTTCGAACTTCAATCGAGAAAGAGTGCACAGACAGCGTTTAAGATGTTTAAAGATCATAATAAAGGATGTATTTTGTATAGGCTACTTCTGTTGCAGAATGATATTTTTGACGATGCTTTTTTCTTTTCTCTGTTATGTAATGCTATACAATCTACAGAAAAGAAAAAGAAGATTTCCCGAAAGAGAGTGTATTGGAATTGTTGCTTTCCTTCGTAAAACGCAACTCGGTTACTGCAAATGCTCCTTCAAGAAACATTTATGATGAGTTCTTTGAGGTGCCGCATGAATGTCACCCAAATCATAGCAGTCTACTAACTTTCCCCTGGCTCCCCACAATCAAAGAGTTCCTAGACACTGTTAGTCAGATAAGCAGTAAGAAGCCTTGGTTGAGTGGATTGCCTGGCAGAACAACATCATCGACACAGGAGAAGGAAGAATGGACGTACAAAATTTTGAGTCAAGAAAGCTTCAGTCGTCCGTTGGTAAGATAACGTTTTAGGAGTGTGTGAGATATCATTTTATATATTTTCTTGGGAATCCTTTCTAACCTGGAATTGAGTTTTGCATCGGCAGCGCCACACAAAGTGTTTATAGAAGCGAAAAGTCTTGTTTGATGCTTCGCGTTCTCCACGTTTTTGAACTTATGGAGATGCAGGGCAGTTAGTGAGTGCAGTAAAGATTAAAACTTCAGGCGTTTCTTCAACCGATATTTTCCATTCATCCTCGCTTGCATTAATTTCCCCTGTGTATTGCAGGGTGCACTTTCCATCTGAAGAGGAAGGTTGCTTTTTTGTCTCTAATAGAGTTCTCTTTTTGTTCGTAGATTCTGGGTGGTTGTCTCGGGTACTCTTCAAAAACTGGCAGGTTGCGCTTGCTTGATCAAACGGGAGAAATCAACTGCATGATTGCATCCAAAGACGAAAAACTCACAGAACATGACTGCACAAAACACTGTTGCCAGAAATCTATTGTCGACGATCAGTGCTCACGTTGTCCCTATTCACAGATCTGGAGTGTAAATGCAGCGATTCAAATCAATACGTTTGAGGTAGTTATGGAGAAATTTCATTCGAGAGGTCTCGTTCAGGAAGATTTGGGTGAAGATCGAAATCGATTATACGTGCAATTCTCCTTTGACGATACAGAAACCTTGATTCCTAAAGACAAGGGTAAGGCGAATAGATATTATGGAAAAAGGACAAACACATTTGAAGCTGGCACAAAGGATGCAAGTTTAGAAAGGGAGCTCAACAGAAATCTTGAAAGTAAAAGTGATTATTTTATATGCAAGGTTATTTTTATGGTTAGGAACTGCGAAGTGGCAGTGCTCCGACGATTGAGAGAGGAAGTTTGCTATCCTTGTGGTGTGGAAATAAAAGTTGTCGCCGTTTGTAAAAGAAGAACTCAAGACATGTCTGAGACAGAAAAAGCCGTTCCCTGCTGTTCAAATTTCACTCAATTTCTCTCGGACTTCAAGCTTCAAAAGAAGAACGCAGCTCTAAAACTTGAGAGGAAGAGCTTGTACTTAGTCAACGTTCTTCATCCAGGATGTTTCTACGTCTTGACTGAGACAGTCCTTGACGAAAAACAGTCCCATTTGATACAAAATGGAGACGTAGAAGTACTGATTAGTGTTAGCTCTGATATGCTTTTGGAGAGAATATGCTGGTGTGAAAGTTGTGACTTTAACTCGCCAAAGAAAACAGAAAGCAGCTGTGATATTATCAAGGCACTCAATGGTTTGAAGGAAGATTTCTTGAAGAATGATACTCTGCTTAGTGTGGATTCTGTTCTTGGTGAAGGAACCTTTACGGGAGTGAACGGCAACGAGAAGTCTCTAAAGCAAAGGTATAAGAATGAATTATGCAGCTTAGCTACTGTACTTCGTCTCAGCACATGCACATCAACTCTGTAAATGTGTTAGTGATTTTCATCAATGGTTTCTCGAATGCTGTTCAACGTGATGGGTTTTTAGACAGGGAACGCCAATTCTATTTTTTCTAGCACTCTGTCTTTCTGTTTCTCTTCATAGCTCTAATGCTCGAAAGATCCGATGTAAAAATCTTCACAGGGGCTAATTTACGTTATCAACTCAGCTGATAATCTCAAATTACCCTATCTCCTTGCAGCACACAAGTGAGTTTCCATGGGCTGATTGTTAGCCGAGATCTGCGCCAGTCAGACTGTCCTAGTCAGCGGCTTCCAAATGATCTGGTGGAACTGCCTAAGTTTGGTCCAGTTAAGATGTCAGCTATAAAAGATCTACAGCTGGGCTTTACTCTATTAGAAAACAAAATCATACAGCTGAGAGTGCGTGACTTATGGTCATCAAATACCATATCTGTTTACCTGGACTTCAGACGAACCACTTACGTTGATGGAATTTTACCTGGTAAGTATTGTACACTTGCATTTATAGCAATCGCAACATTTTCGAATCCTGCAAGTTGTCGGCGACATTGCACTATCTTTGGCTTAAAATTAGAAGATCTTGTTTTTCTTCTTGTTATCATCAGGCGCCGTTGTCCGATTCCGAAGGTTGGTGAGAAAATTCTCCCAAACCAGAAACATGTACTGCACATTTGAGGCTTGTTCTTCAATTTTCGTGGAAAGACGAGCAGCAAATAACTCAGATACCAGCATCCAGCCGACCCCACATTATTCACTCAACGTTGCAGCATGTGCATCTGGTGAAGCGCGCACCAAAGAACTTCCAAATCAATGTCTTTTCAGACTCATTCAGAGCGAAGCACAAGGGAGGTTTGTTCAGACCATTTCACGAGTATGTTGCCGAGTAATCGCTGTGCAGAGGGCGAGCCTGCGATGGCTTTGTAAACGATGCGGTGAACTGGTAGCTAGAAACGAGTGTGCCGCCTGTTGCTTCAGCTCCTCGGGATCTAGGCTCAGTGCTGAAGCCAGGTAATGTTTCAATCACGTAACGCGTTTAGTCCACCGAAGGACGAGCCAAGATATTAAGAGGATTTCAGTGATTGAAATTCTCACTTTGTTTTTCTTACAGATGTGTTGTAGAAGACGGTACAGGCGAAGCTCAGGTTTACGTGTATGACGACCTGGTGCCCACGTTATTGAAACTTTCCAGTCAGCAGTGGCGTCATCTTCAGGATTTGGCTATGCGCACTGGCGAGTTACTGTACCAGCGACATTGGTATGGTGCACGCGGGCGTGTGAAGGTAAATTAGTTTAATTCGTCGAATAACCAATTGACAAATTGGAAGAAGGTTAACTCGCGTTGTTTTCTCAATTTTAAGATCAATGAGGGAAGCTTGTCCAGAGAAGCAGGAGCCAAATTGATCTGGGAGAATCATTGTGTTTCATCTCAAGTCTCACGGCGAGTCGTGCTGTATTGTAAATTGTTTCGCTTTAAGAAGAATGGTGCTAATAACACAGAACAAGGTGAGAAACTCGTGTTGCGATTTGTTCTTAGGGAAAGTTTGCCTAATGCAGTTATTAAGACGTGACATTGGTAAGTGCGGAAAGAGAACAGAACAGCCATGAAATATTCCTGTAAATAATTAGATTTTTTTTTCAAGCGGTGTTGTTATCTGATATGTCTTATTCTTGTTCCAGGTTACGAGTCTCGTAGTATTACTGTGGGTTCCACAGAACACTCTACTCTCGTGTTACCCAAACTGCTCTTAAGAGCTATATCCATTACCGAGGTTTGCGCAACAGAGGAAATTCGACAACTGCTTCAACAGGAAAGAAATGGACTTCGGTGACTTGGTTTCGAAGTGAGCCATTGAGTTCCCGGTAGAAAACAAACCGTAATCTCTCTCTACATGAAGGGATATCAAGTCAACTGAATAACAAACAACAACTTTTAATATTTTAATATGTAAATAATATAATATTCATTTAGCTATGTCCAGTTTCCATCAAATTTAAAAATTCACCTAACTTGGCAATAAATTAATATGAAAATAAGTGTTAATTATTTCCAAGGAGATACTGCTTCAACCGCTGAAAATATTTGTAGAGTTGAATTTACTGTAACATGTTAGGATTCGGAAACACTTCAGTGTCACGTTGCTGTTAGCTTAGACATATCAAGAGTAAAGCGGTCCACGTTGAACGGTTTGTAGAGTCTGTTTGGTGACAGTAAACTTTCCACGGCTGTTCGTTTATCACAGTGACCTATAATCCATTGAAGTCTATCCTGAAATATACAAAATATACCAGCTTTAATACAAGAATTCCTGTGATTTTATTTAACTGTTTTAGCTAGGTAGAGAAGACAGGCTCACAAAGTATTACAGGAGTGATAAAACATTTGGTGTAATTAGACCTTTTCTCTCTCATCGTTGCCCCAAATGTACGGCGGTAATTCAGTGGAATTTAGAATTGGAAATACACTGTCCATGTAGACCTCCCTGAAGAATCTTCTCATGTGTGCTTCGTCTCTCTATAGAAAAAGGCAATCAAAGAGGTGAGAATGAATATTGGCCAGGAAATCGGAAATCTGGGAGCATTTGGGATAAACAGGAACCTGTGCACTTCTAAGAGACCAGTGGTCCTGATCCACTTGATCCATGATAACCATGATAGCGGTTGAATTGCTTGCTTCAAAGCTTTAGTTGATTTGCTTTTGTGTGTCAGTTGAACAAAACGTTACTCTTGCAAGCTTCATAGAGTAAATACAACTAAAGGTACTTGAGTTAAACCAACAAAAATGAAGATATTTCTTTATATGTTGATCATTTTGAGCGTAGTTACTCAGTACTTACTCGTTGGGATCGCTTGAGTGCTCGCTTGCTTTTCTCGTCCCAGCAGCGCTATATCGAGAAAATAAATTATTCAACTTATAGTTCAGATGCATAATTTTAGAGACGAATTTAAACGTGATAAAAGTCTTAAGCTACAACATGCTCAGAAGAAGCGGGAGCTTCGATTGAATCGTGTCTAACTGGTAGTACGTGGGCACTTATGACGACAAGGAGCAGCGCACCCTAACACTGATTGCTTCCACTCGAACTCATCAACAAGTAAACCTCACATTGAAGTCCTTTACTTGGGCTGACATCAAGTCTAGGAGGTTGCTTACCTTGAGAGCATCCATCACATCATGAGTATAGAGAATTTTTGGAAATGTTGATATAACAGGATCCATAACAAAACCTGAAACGAATAATGGAAGAAAGGAAAGGAAAGGAAAGGGAAGGGAAGAAAGAAAGTAATACCGTTACTTTTCCCAAAAGAGCTTCTTGCTTTGAAACGTCAGGCGTGGAGGGAACTACAGCAGCTTATGATTTCCATTTCAATTCAAATTAACAATTTTTTACTCATAGAAGCCTTATATACTCGGATTAACGTCTTCTCCGTCTGGGAGAGGATGGCAATGAGTTAACGTACAAACAATTCATCACAAGATACCTGCATCTTGACTGTCCCGCAACTCGTACATGATAATCTCAGTTAGCAATTGGCGGTACAAAGAAATGAACTGAGCATATGTGTGACATGTCAATAAAGTGTCTGGTAACATGCTGCAAAGAGATTCAAACCCGAACTGAACATGTGACTGAGTTTGACTAAATCTGGGCATCAACAATTAAGTTATCATTTACCTAAACATTCACGAAATGCTTTGGTATTTGTCCGAGGACAAAAAAAAATAATAATTCGTGCTTACTCGTATATGTCTCTTCGTTGACTTGGAAAAGAAACGAGTTTCACTGTCAACCTCGGCTGGCGATTAGTTCGGACAACTTGTTGGAAGCGACTGGTGCTGGCTGAAACAATAAATACAAGCAAATAAAGACGACAGTATAGTTACCACCGGTTATTTCTGCATACTTTTGAGCCAAATGCGCGAAGAACTGCGCCATGTTGCAAAAATATCTTTTTATAGCCCATCAGGTTTCATTGATGGATTTTAAAAAAGATCTATGATGACATCACTGATAAAAACCTAAATGGAGGGATTCTTTTCAGTGTCAGTATGTCTGTTCAGTTCTGACAGGGCTAAAACATACAAAGCAGTAATGAGGGATTTAAAAATGTATTTTAATTGGACTTGTAATGCCTGCCTGTCAGAAACTTTACCTTTCAAACTGACTGAAGGATCCAGGTCGACCCCAATGTCAAACGGTGTTCCACCATTAAGATGGATTTCGTACGTCCTGTAAAAAAGAAAAGGAAAGCACAGGTATTACACTTTGTTGTAACGGAAACTCTCAAAGAGGTAATGGCTACACGTTACGTGAATGGACTGTCTTACTTGTTAGGCACCGGTGCTCCGTTTTCTTCAAACAGTTTAATTGCACACCAACCACATGCCACTTCACCTTTCTCACCAGTGGACTATAACAATAAAATATATCAAACTCACGGATAAAAGGTCATCTGTTGCGTTTATTCAAATGTGCACCGAACTCAAGCAGATAAACACTTACCGTTCTTCTATAAAGTATGTTCAATTCAAAAAGGATAACTACAAGAAAAGAAATGTTATGAGAATCAGAGATGGAAATAGATCAATGTAATGGTAAAAACATTAACATTAATTCAGAGGTTTCTTGTTTTATTCACTAGCACGTTACAAGACCAACACGGCAGCGTGAACTTACCTTGGGAATCGTCATTGGAATTAATACGAGCCAGAACCTCAGAGTCGTAGACACTGGTAGAACACTGCATGTAAAATCAAATGAAAAGCTTTCATACAGGTTGTGTACGTGACACGGTGTGGGCAGTTGCACAGTCTTAAAGTGAAAAGTGCATGGCGGTCGACATGAGCGCTTAAATAGATGTGCCCACACAGAAGTTTTGACTCCGATCATTCATATAAATATATACATTTTCTTTTCCAGTTCATAATCTCTCTTCATTCTAAGCTGATTTTTTTTGGCGCAATGTAATAAAAATATCCATGAAAGCATCGCCTTTGGTTTGAGGAAATATATCCAAGGTTAAATCAGATGGAAAAATAGACCTTCAAACAGTATCAGAAAACTTGAAACACGGTTTAAGAGTGACCTTGTACCAAATGGTGTTTGCCCGTATTACCTTTGGGTTAAAGTTCCATGACGCTGGATCTTTTTCCGTCGTAGTTGCGCGGACTGAATGAACATTGCTAAGAGGCTGATGATAAATATCAAAAGTAAGTGAACGGTTTTGGCAGCACCGAGATCAAAATAGCACCATCGCGTGTTTAAGTGCATTTTATACCTGTTTCTTGCTGTTATCCCAAATCACAATCCTCACATGTTGGCTTATAACTTCAACACCTTAGAATCAAGATACCAGAATGGAGGAAAGTTTAGAAGAAGATTCAGTGAGTCACCTTAATGACAACTGAAAAGTTTACTCATTCACTGTTTGAGACAGTTGAATACGTACCACTGAGAAACACTGTTGCAGCTCAAACAAATAGAGCAGCCTTGTACAATTTACAAGTGATGAGGATAACTGAATTTGAGTCCAACCTAAGCAGCCGTACTCTTAGCAGACATAGAACATGCATTAGAGGAGACAGTTCCTAGGTTTAAAGAAAAGGGTGGGGAAAGAAATTCAGATTGACCCCTGTCCAAACTTGCAGTTTTTCACTTACGCTCATTATATTAGTTTTTGAATGTAAGAATAAATCTTATTTTTTTGACATAAATGAGCTAAGTTCTACTGCTGATCTATCATCAAGTCGTCATAGTGGGCCTGGGACTGACCTGATCCTATTGATGGTATCATTCGTGCACTGCATACTTGAAGAACCCTGTTGGTTTTTGCCGTTCGTGGTCGCAGCTGTAAAGGGTAAAAAAATAGCCAGGTTGAATTACTAGTATCGAGGAAGTCAAAACCTTTCCTTCTCTAGAAAAATCAAGAAAACGAAAGAGAGATAACAAGAATCAGATCACCCCATCAAAGTAGCTCCATCTCACCCTCTCGAGAGGGTTCAATAACTCAGCTCCTCGAAGTTGGATAGCGGAGAGGCTCTCAGTCAGGAGAGATGGGGGTACTTTCTTTACACCACTATCTTTGCATCAATTCCTACGTTTTAGCCGTCTTTCTTCGAAGAGTTACAAGCTTTAACAAAGGAATAGTTACGTTTTCACCTGTTTATTGACGGGATCCCAAGTTATGTCTCTGAATGCTACATTAGACTGGCTTAGTTTTGGCATCACCCAAGAGCTTGTTTGCCAGATTTCTGAGGGATCAAAAGTAAAGTCCTACCTTGTAACTAGAAGTAAAACCATTCACCAGAAAAACATAAAACGCGAGTAAACAACAGTGTAAGAGCTACTTTCGTTTACTTCGTCCTTTATCTGATTCATTCCGACGTTTTTTATAATGTAAGAGATCAAAAAACCCCACAGCCTCAGGTAAGTGCTCCGCTGTGACAAACTAGTTACTTTTGACGTGTGCTGCAAAATCGAACAGAAATCAACATTTAAACTCAGGGAATTAATCTTAAAAACAGCTTGCCTTCTTTGGCCAGTTTTCCAAGCGTTGTTGATCGGAAACCACTTGGCATGGCACCCATAGCTTTCAACACGTCTGTGGCACTAGTCTGAGAAGAGGAAATCAAATTCACCACCACATTCATTTTCATGTTTTTTACTTCATACGTGAGGGATTTTCCGTGCTATATTTTTTCCATTTCCTGCGTGAAGGTCACACACTAGTTACGTTGAGTGTCGATGGGTGTTGAGCTAGAGTGTGGGTTTCAGGGTTTCTCGGTAAGGTATGACATAACGGTCACGCAACGCGACATTTAAAAGAAAGGCCACAAACGTTTTTAAATAAAAAAGAAAAAGACTTTATGTTGCATGAATCGACTAATTTCTTCAAGTAGTCTGTAACATCTCGTGACTTTGAAAGTCAGCTTGGACAAGATTAATTCTGCATTTTGTTGTTACGAAAACAAGAAAAATCAACCAGGAATAATCGTTGGAAATAGCCCTTTCATAGTATAATGAGTTTACACTATTTCATTTTATCCTGCAAGTGTCCTCAATGTAGATTAAAATATTTCCATAAATATCGCAATTAGTTTGCAAGATAATTTTGCTAGTTCGATACTCATCGTTTTTTGAGTGATAAATTAACACATTTAAACGAATAACGCTTGAATATAATTGACAGGGAAAGCGACAATTAACAAAGCCTATCTGTGAATACAGAAACATTATTTATATCACTAACCCTGATTTGGAATTCAAAAACTAATCACATCAGTCGCCTGTATTATTTTATTCACCAAGGCCTTAGGCAAAATTAGAAAAACACAATATTGTACGACGCATTATTGCAGAGAAAGTTACACGGAGACAACGTAAAGACAACGGGTT